AGTATTTTTTAGTTGTAGATGGACACAATATCTTTATTTATTTATTTTTATGTGGCACTGAGGATCGAACCCAGTACTTCACATGTGTGAGGCAAGTGCTCTACCACTGAGCCACAACCCCAGCCCATAAAGTACTATTTCAAAGGAAAGGCACTGTCATTTCTGGTTGTAAACACACACACACACACACACACACACACACACACACACACACACACACGGAAATAAATGTTATCAATGAGACAGTCATTTCAAGAAATTTATATCCAAAAATTTTCATAAGAATACATGAAATTTCACAAGATCATTCATTGTAGCACCAAGCCTATATTCCTTGATAGAAAACTGTCAAATAACAAATACTCCAGTTAATTTCCCACAGGGATAAATTATGCAAATAGCCATTTATATCTTAATTTACAATAATCAATAAATAAGAGTGCACATTCATACAATTTTTTAATCAAAGATCCCTTTTTTTTACAAAGCTACAGCCATATATATACTCTAAATAGACAAAATAATCCTTGTACTACAAAATAACATTTCACTTTTTTTCCTCCATATTTCTCCTGAAGCTCTCAGTAAAAGTTTTCAGACACAGTGAAGTCCTGCCATATCATTAAAGAAACATGAAATCTGCTAAATATATCACAGATTCCCCCCAAACGAAATACCTGTTAACCTCCAGGATAATAGCTCTGAAGAAACCCATCTCCAGGTTTAACCTGGTCCAACAGTGTACAGTAGGGCTGGCCAGAGCAAGTGATAACAGGCAGCATCTTGGTCCAATCTCAAGGGCAAAGAGCAGGGGTCTTGACACAGACAGCTGCTCCCTCCACAGGCCAGCCCAGGCTTGAGGGATCTCAAATGCAAACAGCTCTGACTCTGAGCAGAAATTGAGCCTTTTTGAGTCACTACTAGAAAAAGAGGACAGAGGCCAAAAGTGGAAAGGTCCGGTTGGGTACAGCTATTTATTTCTGCAGCTGAATTTTTTAATTTAAAAGAAATCCCCTGGGAAACCGCGTCAGCTGCTATTTTAACTTAAGGAGACCAAATTAGTTCTGGGAGCCCAAGGAAGCAGGTCCCCAGGTTCTACTCCAAACTTTCATCCCAAACCTTCTACCAGATGACCTTCTGCTATTGCAAACTCTTCCCTAAGGCACCCTTTGTCAGATACGAACAGGAAGCAATGCTCCGAGCTTTGGCGTTCACTTATATACAGAAGTGCACATTTCCAGCACCTAGGCCACTTGTTGAGATCAACACAGAAATAAACACAATGAACTATCTTGCCAACCTTTGGATTTTTAAACCTAGAAAGAACTTTTTATAAGAAGTCTTCCAATATCTAACCTAGAGAGGTCAGGGAATATCCAGGGTGTCTGCAGGTGAGCCCTGACTAGGATGTGGGTCGCTGAAGCCCGGGCCAAGGATGTCTCACTTTGGGCAATGTCAGCTCTCTAGACTGCAGGCTCCCTCAGATTCCTTTCAAAAGTATCTCGACTGTTGCAAGACATTTAGGAATACCAGTGTCCTGTGGCTATCGTTCCTCACAGCATGGTCTTACAGATAATGTGCTATTGACTTTTGATGCAACTAGAAGAAGCAGTGACAAATAGCATAAACCTATCAAATGGCATCTTTTTTTTGATAACAATGCAAAAATCATGACTTTTAAACTTAAAAAAATGATCCCTATCTGAGACCCCAACCAATTATGACTTCATTTAAGTCACTCATGGTCTTCAGCCACCATTTTAAATTATGCTCCACCTGTGCCTTTTCTGCTTGGATTTTCAAAGGAGAAAACCTCGTTTCAACTCTGAAAATCATGTGCGGGAGAGAGGAACCATTAGGGACAGGAGGTACCATTAAACTCAAGTCACTGATGAACTGTGTTTGATACTAGAGACTGAGACTTCATTGGTAAAGGCTGTTCAGAGGCAGAAATTTTGGTTGCAAATTTGCAGCTGTAGGCCAAACAATGAATTTCTGAAGGAGAGATTTAAGCAGTTGGGTTTGGGAGTCCCAGTGTGAAAACCTGGGGACTGGGGAGAAGGCTTCAAGGAAGGAAACAGCAGTGTGATTTCTACACATGTCCACCTTCCCAGTACAGAGGATGTCCATCCAACACTGGTCCAACTAGGCCAGTGTCACAAAGGATCAGAACTTCATTAGGGGGATCGCTTTCTTTCCTAAGCAGTGATGTTAACTGTGAACATTAATGTCTGAAAATAAGCCCTACATTCCTGGTTCTGCGACTTACTAGCTCCAGGATGTGACCTTATTATTCTTCCGGCCTGTGCTTTAGTTTCCTCCCATGATTGTTGGGAGGTTCCCATCAATGAATACACAATGGCTTCAACTTCCTCAGCTGGATGAGGAGCAGGGCAGCCAGCAATAGGGCGGTGAACTGGAGAGAGATGGACAGAAGCCTTGGGTAACGGAATGTTGGCAAGCAGATGTAGCCAGCGCTTGGAGAGGAGGGAAATGGGGAACTGGCAGCTACTGAGCAGGCTGCAACTTTATATATATTTTTTATAGCTCGCAAGGAAGGTATTTGTTCTTTGAGAAATGTGTGCTGAGGGCCTACACTGCCAACCAGCTCAGCGGTCAATCTGCCCGAGGTCACCCAGGCATCGGGTGACAGCGAGGACACAGATCTAGATCTGGTTGACTTCCCAATATGCCCACTTTCCCTATTGTATGTGCCTCCCAGGGAAGGAAGAAAGGACGGGTAGAAAAAAAAACAAGAAAAGGTTCATTTAAGGACGGCCTGGTTAGCTGAAGCTAGATAGGACATGAGCATGTCAAAGAGTTAAACAGGTTAGCAGCAGCATCAGGCTGCGGGTGTGGAGGCCTGTGTGTATTTAAAAACAGCTTGACCAGCGAGCACAAAATACTGGTTGTCTTTTTCCCTGATGAGAGTGTTTCCTGGTGCACGGCTGCTATGGTCGGGGCTGGGCAGAACTGTTTGCCTGGTGTTTTGAGCAAGAACCTCAGAACAGGCTCTGAACACAACCAAGTCAGCCTTCTCGGCACTGCAGAGGCTTCCAACCCTGGAAAGGCAGCTCAAGGGCTCTGGTAACTTCTGCCAACTCCCTGAGAACCAGGAGCTCAGCCTCCGAGGCCACGCCCAGCTCACCACAAGCCCTGTCCTTTACACAGCCAGGGAGAACGGCAAGGCCAAGGCCACCAAAGGCCAAGGCCACTGAGGGGCTCTTACAAACCAGGGCCAGGAGGGCTGGTGCTCACTGGGGCCCGCATGCCAGGGAAGTAGAGGGGCCCCAGGCAACTCCTGCGAAGCCCAGGGTCCTCAGCCGTGGGCTCACTTCCACCACCTGGGGGAAGCCTGGAGAGAGGCAGGGGCACAAAGGCCCCTCAAGCTCCCCAGAGCACCAGCGAGGCCATGTCTCCTTTCTACTCCTCCACTGTGGCCAACTGGGTAAGGGAAACACGCTGTGGCAGTTTTTAGCAAATAAACAAGATTCCACCAGCACCAACTCCCAACTTCTACCGCCCATCCTAGGTCCTGGGCCTTGTCCTTAGAGCAGCCCCCACACTGCTGGTTGGGCTGGTGGCAGATGCAAACTGCAGCTGTAGCCCGGGGATGCTCTACCTTCCCTAAATGGGGTGTCAGCAGGGACCGTGTAGGGCTGGGGAAGAGAACACGCCGGGCCCTGCAGAGACCCGCACACCCTTGTTCCTGGAAAAACTGCTGCCGAGAAGCTTTTGAAGCTCCGGCAAAACCCTTTTCTGGGACTTCAGGGTGTGGAGCTCCATGGAAGAGTCCAGGTGGGCCATTTGGTGCAGACCCAGGGCAGTCTCTCCAGCAGGAAGGAGAGAGGGTCAGGTCTCAATGCTCCAGCAGGCTCTGGAGCCCGGCTGGAGCGCTGGGAAAACTAAGCTGGTGTGAAAGACTTCACGTCACTCTGAGGATAGAATCACAGAAAGAAGTTTCCTCTCCAAAGCATCCGTGACTGCTTCTGACACCCAGAAGGACACCGTCTCTACTCATTTACTCTGGCTTCTGTTGGAGGCTAAAAGTTTGTAGAAAACTTAATTGGAAATGCAAATGGTCATCCCAGAGTCACTAGTTAGCAGGGTGATGAGTTGATCTTTAGTTTTATTTATTTTTGTAATGGGGTCTCACTGTGTTGCCCAGACTGATCTTGAGCTCGGGCTCCTGCAATCCTCCCATCACAGCCTCCTCATTCCTTATAGGAGGTGCTGAGCCCTCACGTGACCCCTGTGGCTGTCCCACGTATGTCACCCTTGTGAAGGGCAAGGGAGCCGCCTCAGGAGGGGGGTCGGGGAAGTATGCTGAACCCCAGGAGCAGGGAAGCCATGTCCTGGGTGGCAGCTCATGGAGCCATGAGGGTGTACTTACTGGGGCTAACCTCTGGGGGAAGCTCATCTGACCAGAGAGATCAGGTGTGGCCAGGCTGTCCCCAACAGCTCTGTGATCACCAGCTGTGGCGCACACTCCTATGAGGAAATCCGGCTCATGTTCCACACTCCAGCCCGCAGAGGACCCTGTTTGTTCGTTGGCAAACACCAGCGTGGTCTACTTCCAGAAAACCTGGAAACACCACCCCACAGCCTGGCCTTGTGAGATGCGGAGATCTAGGGTGGTTCACTGGGGCCGAGTGACAGAAACAGAGGAAGGAAGGGGAAGACAGAGCCACCTGAATGGCAGCCTTGAGCAGAACCGGAGGGTCAGCTCACCCTCTCCTCTACTGGGCATCGCACAGATCAGCAACCCAGATGTTGTTATGGCCTCAGGGAGACGCAGAAAGGTACAGAGCAGCTGGAAGAGCAGCGAGCCACCAAGTCAACCATTGGAAACTCAAAGGGGTTTGCAGATCAAGACAGTGTACGGAGCACAGGGCTCACTTCTTCTATCATGAATCTCTACAGAAATAAGAGCCAAGGAAAGACAGCTGCACAGCCATGAAGATCCAGGGTGGGAGAAGGCAGCCGCAGGCCCTGGACGCCAATCCATCCACAGCAGGGGCAGAGCTGATGGGAAGTGAGGAGGGCGGAGGGGTATTACCAGGTGCCTATAGGGGGAGGCCACTGAGCCACCGCATGCGGCATCCAGGAAAGGTGGGGGCGAGACACAGGGTTGGAGAGAGGCACATTTATGGACTTCCAGGCCTCCTGTCCCTCCCATGCAGCCAGATGTCCCCTCTGCTCCTACACCGTGGAGAAATAAGAGAAGCTCCAACCCAGGGACACCACACACAGCAAAGGTGGGAGCAACTTAGTGGACTAGCCACTGACTGGCCTTGAGACCACCTGCTGGGCCAGAACTCCAGCACCACAATGGGTCTTGGGTGCAGATGGCCTTACAGTTGTGGCACCGAACAGACACCCAGGCCGGGGGGGGGGCAAGCAGGAGTTGAAGTCCACCTTGTGCTCTCCCTTAAGCTTTGCCCTACCTCATGGCTGCACCCTCCCAGAGAAAGGGATGAAGGGTAGGCTCTGCCAGGCAGGCTAAGTAGTTTCTGCCCAGAGGGACACCTGTTTTTAAAACTGCACAAGGGCATTTCATGGACTAATAGCAGCCCCGTGTGTGAGTCCCTCTTCCCAGGCAGAGGAAGAGTGAAAAGCTCTCTAAAGAAATGGATAAGGCCGCAGAGAAAGGACGTGCAAATACTGATGCAGGATTCTCCAAAGACAAGTCCAGTCCTCGTGGACTAGAGAAAACCCACTCGTTGACACACAGCTTCCAAACAGCTTCCTGAGCATCCACTTTTAAACATGAACAGATAGATCCACAGAATCACCAGATACTAGAGAAAAACTTGGAACATGAAAGATAAAGACAGAGACCAAAACAAGAGGAAGGAAACTTAGAGGAAGCCAAAGCAATACAGGGAGCAGAAAAGAACTTCCTCCCAAGCACTATTATTGGCCGGGCGTGGTGGCACACACCTGTCATCTCAGCAACTCAGGAAGCTGAGGCAGGAGGATCACAAGTTCAAGGCCAGCCTCAGGAACTTAGGAGACTCTGTCTCAAAAAAAAAAAAAAAAAAAAAATTTTGGGGATATAACTCAGTGGTAAAGTGCCCCTGGATTCAATCCCCAGTACAAAACAAAACAACACCAACAAAAAGAACCTATTATCATAACATCCACAGGGCAATAGGATCTGCATTCCTGAATCAAGAACAAAACACTACAAAACAAAACCCAGAACAATGAACAGTTTTGGAAATCAACATAAAATTGAATATATTTTCCAGAAAGCAAATCAAAAAATAGAGATGAGAAATTAAAAAGGTAAAAACATTAGAAGATTAGTTGGAGCGGTCCTATATTGGAATGACAGATCAGAACGAAAGAATGTAAATAATTTCAAGAAAATTTAAGAACTTTCTCTTAGGGCTCAGCACAAAGTATAACAGCAAAGATGTGACACCATCATGACAGTTCAGGACACCAAGAACAAAGCATTCTTCAGTGTTTCCAGGGAGAGGAGAAAACCAAGTCACACGGGAGTCCAAATGGCATCACAGAGGTCAACAACCACAGGTGGCGAGGCGGGGTGTATTTTGTACCTGCAGTTCTCTGCTCAGCCACATTTGCACAAATGCATTTTGCATTTTAAGTCATGCAAAAAAAAATCTCAAAATATTTGCAACAATATACTTTCCATGTTCCTGTTCTCGGGTTACTGAAGAATGACACTCCAAAGAGAGACAGGGAGGGAGGGTGGGGCAGGGCAGAGAGAGGATATGAATCTAGGAGGAAGTGTGACTAGGAAAGCCATGTGCCTGAAGTGACCACGTGGCTCAGGAGTGAACATCCCTGACAAGCCCATGGCAGTGTCAATGCTGGATGCACCAAAGAACATGATCTAACTATGGGGTCTGGGCATGAGTGTCCCCTCCATCTGCAGTATTAGCAGGTCAGTAGATGTTTCTAAGTAAATTAAAAGAATAAAGGGTAAGCATGTTATGTAGAAGTGCAAAGGTAAATATTAGAAGAACAGCTCAAAGTGTTCAAAATGGTTACTTCTAGGAGCAAGTTGCCTAGAACGTAGGAAACTGCTAGTTCTCATTAAAAACCTGATAGTCCTTTTTTTTTTTTTTAATTAAAAAACACTCCAAGGAATGGGGTGGCTTGTCCAGCAGCCTGTTATAACCACCTTCTTCCATATAAGCCTATACTCAAATGAATTTTTTATCCTTTAAAAAATCAGTTTACTGCCAACCTGAGCCAAATGAGTTTTGGGCATCTTGCCACTAGATGTTTTAAAGAACATTCAAAGAGGAGGTGAGGGAGGGAGCCTGCAGAGAGCTTCTGAACAAGGCCTAGAGCTGTGAAGCAAAATGATTCACATTTGGGTCAGCTCTTCTTTGGCATTTAATATGGGCAGAGACGTCCAGGTGCCCCGGGTTATAAAATATCACACACGTAATCTTCATTATGCGTACCTCTGAACTTCTGATGATGCCAGGAAGCTCATTAATTAGCTCATTTTCTACGGGCTCCTGGCCTTCAAGATGGAGACACTCCAAGCTCCGAGAGCTTTTGCCTGGAAGGCTGAGATTCTTTGGGGGGAAGGGAGGCAGAATGGCACAGAGGCCGAGTTTCGGCCTTAGGGGCTCCACCATGCTGTGTAAATTCTTTCAGTTTTGCTGGAACTCTGTATCTGAGACCTGCTGCTCGAAAGAAGAGAGTCCCTGGACTGCTAGGAAGGAATGGGATTCCCCGAGTAAAAGCAAGGCTGGTATGTCAAATGACACGCCTTGACAGGTGTGAAGAATGTTCCAGAAGGTATGGGGGTTGGGCTTGAAGGTAAACAAAGCTTCCTCATGGAAAAGACAACAAAAAGAAGTTGAAAATATTTTTTAAAAGATAACAAAGTTTGATAGGTGCCCAAATATTTGGTTTTGCTTGAATGAGAACATTTTTTCCCTAGTCATTTTACCAGGACATTCGTGTGCACAGTAGAAGTTTCCTACAAAAAGGAACAGCTCTGGACTGGGCATCAGGGTGCTCATGACAAGTCTATTCCTGGTGGGCTGTGTGAGCTTGGCCAACATCTGTGCCTCTCTGGGTTCAGCTGGACAAACTGCTCCCTGAGCCTTTGCTGAGTAGAGTTCATAACTTTGGAAGGAAGAGTTCATAACTTTGGAAGGAAGAGTTCATAACTTTGGAAGGAAGAGTTCATAACTTTGCGTGCTCTTGAGGGGGAGGGCAGAGACAAGAGGAAACTTAAACAGCCTTCACTGACCTGAGTCTTAGCAGGACCAGGCTGATATGATGGGAGGGTGGGAGAAGCGCCTTTGTCTTTTCTTACAGCCCACCTGCTTTGCTCTACTCCATCATGGCTCTGGAGCTTTCCAGAAAGACTTTTCAAGAAACCCATTTTGATGGCTGGCAAGCGGTGCCAAGGCCACAGCAGGTATTCTGAGGCCAGCAAGCCCCAAAGCATTCTTAAGCAGCACAGTGGGCACTTGTTCTTAGCCTGGCCACCTCCAAGCTCCTCAGGACCTTTCACAGTGCCCAGCTGGGCCCCGAGGTCTCACACAAGATCAGCAAAGTGGGAGTGGGGTCTCCGCCTGCTGGGAGCCAGCTAGAGCTCCGTTTTGAATACGTTGTCTAGATTGGCCCCTCTTAGGTTTCACTTGGCAGAAAATATGATTTTTCATTTGAAAAGTCACAGTTCTAACTCCAACCAATCAATGCAAAAGCAAATTAAAAATACATCTCAACTGGGTATGGTGACATTCAACTGAAATCCCAGCAACTCAGAGGCTGAGGCAGGAGGAACACAAGTTGGAGGCCAGCCTCAGCAACTTCACAAGACCCTGTCTCAAAAAAATAAAAAGGAATGGGGGTGTGGCTCAGCAGCAGAGTGCCCTCAGATTCAATCCCCAGTACCAGGAAAAAAAAATGCATCTCACTCCTCCAACCCTTCAAGAAAACCAGGGTGAGAAATGCAAGAGCTGTGGCTCTCAACAGAGCCTTGGTCTTCTTCCTTGATTCTGCCATTCCCTGTGCCCTTTCTGGGAGCCAGCGGCTTGGTGCTGCTTGGTTCCTCCAAAGAATGCAACCAGTCACCAGACTGCAGCAGGTGCACAGACCTGCATCTTCACCCAGACACCTGCACTTGGAGGAAAGTTCTTCCAGGTAAGGTCCCCAGGGGACCCACGCTCCTCCTCATCAGGCAGACCTTCATCCGAGAGGTAAGTAACTAGAGTTCATCCAGGACCTGAGAAACCTGCATGCATGAGAGCCGAGATCCAGGTGTTGGCTGAATATGGGTGACGATGCTTACCATCTGATCAAGCAAGGCACAAGGACAAGACTCACCAGGGAGGCGGCTGCCACCTGAGTTCTGAGCACACAGCCAAAGGGGAAAGGTGCTCTCTCAGGCCCCAAGGAGGGGAAAGGACAGGAGCAAAGCAGGACAGCAGGGGGCGGGGCCTGGGCTCCCCCAGGTCTTCCACCACCTGCAGAAGCGGCCCCCACCCCCAACACAAAACAAAATTAAGTAAAAAGACCCCACCCTGGTCAGGGGCCTGTCTTTTTTATTCTCCAGACACACACATCAGAGCCTGTTGACATCCAGCTGCGGGAAGAGCAGGAGGCAGTAGACCAGGAGCCAGAGAAAGAGAATAAAATACATCACATCCGGCTGCTGCACAAACTGGGTCAGGGAGTCACTCTGTGGGCTCTGGCTGCCCAGGGACATGGCTTCTCCAGAATTTTTGGCCTTCCTACAGAGGGAAAGACAGGGGACAGCAGTTAGTAGCAGGGCCCCAGGAGGGTGGCCCACACCCCGACTCCATCCCCACTGCCCCAGAGCCCAGGACGTGGTGTGATGACTCTGGGAGGCCACAAGTCATGGGCATGGACCCAAGGATGAGGGTGGCCATCCCGGTGTCCCTTCTGGCTTCCACCTGCCCAGCTCATCTCCTGGGCACCAAGCGGGAGGAGTGGTCAGCACTGTCCCACAGATGGGCATACTGAGACTTGTGAGGGCGGTGACTTGCCCCAGCTCTCCAGGGACACGGCCTTCATATCACAGTGTCCTCAGGATGCTCCCCTTAAGGAGTGAGGTACTGACAGCTTCCGGTTACTTTCTAGTCATGGAGGGGACTCCTCAGCCATCAAAAGGAGTGCGGAGTGCCCCAGTGACAGGCGATTTCAGAACGGCCATCAGAAACACGTAAAGACACCCCTGAGTTTCACTTCTGGCTTTAGAATATCACCATTAGGAGAATTATTAGATATGATTTTGGCCAGGTGTGTCTCTTTTATTCTTCAGGACACCGGGCTTAAAATGACACTTTGCTTTTGCCTGCCAAGTCACAGGGGCTGGCAGGATGGTGGGAGCCAGCCTAGGGCAGAGCAGAAGAGAGGGTCCAGCTGACCTGGGGGAGGGGCTGATGTGGGTGCCTGAGTGGCAGCGTCTAAGGCCCTTCCTGAGCCTGAAATGAGGAGACAAAAGACAGCATCCCTGACGTGTGGGGGGAGGGTGTCAAGTGAGTGGAGTGAGTCACGTGATTCACGTAGCACGGGATGCACACCTGTAACCCCAGGGACCTGGGAGGCTGAACCAGGAGGACCCCAAGTTCAAGGCCAGCCTGTGCCACTTAGCAACACTGTCTCAAAATAAAAAAAGCAAAGGCTGGGATGCAGCCTCGTGGCAGAGTGTTTGCCTAGAGTGTGTGAGGCCCGAGGTTCCATCCTCCAAATGGCGATAAATAAATAAATAAATATGCAAACTGAGTGATTCACGTGCTAATAATGATCAGCTGACAGCATTTCTCTTTTTTGAATTATAGAAAAAAGTGAATTTCAAGGGTGATAAATGCTTGATGTGGACATGTGAACGGCACCCGCATCTGTCCCCCCTCGGGTTTCACTTTCGGCTGCTCTATCTCAAGTGTTGTCCTACGAGCGTGTTCAGCCTAGTCAAAAACTTGACTTTGCATTTCCATTTCAGGCCAGCAAAGGGAAGCTTGCCTTGCTTCTGTTTTAGGAGCCAGAGGGGAGGAGTCCTAAGGCCCATGCTCCTGGGGATTGAGCAATATTCAGACAGAAGCTTCCAAATCCAGTTATCTAACCTTCCAGGCCAAGTCAAAGCCATTGGGGGGATAGAGAGAGGGAGGGAGGGAGGGAGGGAGAGAAATTAAAGCCCCCGTATGGCTGCGACTTGGTTGGGGCCATCGCAGACCGGGAGATGTTTCTACTCTCTGGGCTCTGCATGGGCTGCTTCTCAGCCAGCTCAGCGACATTCGATTGGGCTAGCTAGTTCTCCAACAGTAAGAAATACTTTCATGGACATCCCGGCATGTTTGCATTCCCTCTTCATGTCTGCTCTGATGCCATAAAACTGTAAAATCAGCTCAGTGAGCTTCTGAGTATTGTACCTGCAGGGGCGACAGAATGAACATAGGCTGTCAGGGGCCACGCCCCCGCCCCTCTCCTCCTGCCTGGCCCTGCCGTGGTACCTCCTTTCTGCCACTGCTTGACTTAACTGCAGCTGTCAGCTCCTAACTCAGACTCCTCTTTGCCCTGACTGGTTTTCTAAACCACACTCCACCACTGTTCAATAATATCCGCTTCACCCTCCCACGCATACTGAATTTATATTCGGAGCCTCTGGAACGGGTATTTCCTACATTCTTTCAAGTTATTATTACTGTGATCCACAAAGCACAGTAGGAAAATAAAATCTCCACCCCAAAAGGTAGGCTATGCTTCATTAAAGACATTTTTTTTTTTAACCCCACCAAACTTGCAGCAGAACGAAGCCACCAACCTGGTTAACATTCGGTTTCTTCTGTCATCCAGATCTGCTGCATTCCTCAATTGAACATAGCTAAAATGATCCTACAGTGAAATTTATAAACAAAACCCCGCAACCCAATTAGTAAAGATGAAATCTCTGAAACAGAAAATAAGATGATTTCAAACAAAGTCAAGGGTGCCAGGCTTTTCTCGATACTGCAAACAGCTAATTCCAAAATCAAACTGCTAAACAGTCAACATTTCTCCCACCACTTCCCCACGCCCTCCAGGGTGATCAGGAGAGGCCCTCCCACCACCCATAACCCCTTCCAGGTGTGCTGCGGAGCTGGGCTGCTGCGGGTCCCCAAAATTTGAGGCTGGTATCTGCAAATGTCAAGAGGGACTTCTATCTATGTTATGTCCCTGTCATTGAATGGGATCTTTCTAGGTGTGTGTGCTGGGTCTAGAGAGGCGTCTCGGATGTGTGGTTTTTTTCTTTTTCTTTCTTTCTTTCCTTTTTTTTTTTTTTTTTATAACAAAGAGGCCTTTGGGCTTTAAAATCATCACTTTATTTACATCCCTTATCGCCCAAACTGGACATCCAATTGGACTGTGCTTAATGACAAGGTTTCAATGTGTTTGTCTTCTATCCAAAAGTATAGTTGTTGCTCATCACTGATTTCAAAGCTCTAGGCCTGGGAGGAGGAAGGGTGGAAAGGAATTGATTAATTAGCAGGGACCGAGGGGAAGAAGAAATTCACATACTAACCGATTCCAAAGACCTATTAGTATGGCGTCGAATGTAAATACTGGAGTCACTGTGACTAGTCCTGAAAAACAAAGACATGTTTTAAATTGACACCACCCAGAACTCCCCGAGGCTTGTGACATGGTTACCCCCAGCCCCAGTTGTCCCCGCGTGCACTCAGGCAAGTGGTGACTTCAGACCGAGGGACAGAAATGACAACTTTTATCCAACATGCCCACTTTGTGGGTGGGTGCTTATGCACAGTCAGACGGACACAGAGACACACAGACTACAGAGCGACACCACCAGGATGCTTACTGGAAAGCAGGCCACTTAGCAATCCTGGCTTTCTGGGTCCAAGCACCCTGAAGTCCTGGGGCCCGCCTGGATTCTCTGCAGGTTAGATAGCCTCGGGCCTCACCCGGGATCTGGGCCCTCCAGCCCTCCTTCCCACTCAGAGCGCTGCTCTTGTGGCCTGGTCCCGGGTGTGCCCCTTTCCCCTCATATACAAGCAGGCAAATATTCCCACCAAAACTTTGAGGCTGGGTGGGGAGGATGGGCCTCTGTCCTTGAAACATAGGTGGCCCACTGACGGTTGTGGCAAGGGAGGCCTGGACTGTCATCTAGGCTCCTAGCAGGTTAGCTGGCAATGCCAGCCACAGACTTGTATCTCTGATCAGCGTTCCTCCTCTGTAAAGGGATCATTATTCCCATCCTGCCTACGCTGCAGAGCCAATGGTGCTGGTGGGCTCATGAGCTTGGTGCACGGGGTCCTTTTTTGGTGCCAGGTGTTGGTTCGGTGCTGTGGACGTCAGCATAGAGAGTCAACTCAGTTTCCTTAATTCAAGCCCCCTGAGTGACCTCCTGGGGGTCTGGGGAAAATGTATTTGTCTCAAGAGTTTATTTCCGGGCAATCTGACACTCAGCAGCTTTGGCATTCCTGCCCACTGCTGTCCTGGAAACCCTGCCTTGCTCCGCACTGGGTACATTTGCAGCTAGGAGTGATGCCTATTACATACCATGCCCGAATTAGGCTCAGGGAAACCATAGTCCTTGTAATTCCATCTAAAAACTGCTACTTTTTTTTCTGGCTGGTGTCACAGCACAGAAATAAAGTAAAATATACCTACAAAGACAAAAACCCACTCTGGTGCCCAGACCCCAGTGGTGCCTCAAACAGAGCTGAACCTGACACTGCAGGCCTGGAGAGGCAGACGTGCCCTGCACGTGTGTCTGTGGTGCTTTCTAATAAGGGGGCACCTCGGGATCAGGAAGGGACTCTCCTCCGTGCCCTGGCACTTGCAGCAAGTTTCCTTTTAGATATTTTGAGATTCATTTATAGTAGGTTTGAATCCTGATCTTCATTCTTTAAGCAAATACTTATCGAGATCCTACTGTGTGCCAGGAACCAGGCTAGGTGCTCAGAACCCACCCTCCCTGCCCTCCAGGAGCCAAGAGAAGACAAGAGAGCTCATTCATCAAGCGAGTGCCTATTTCCTTAATCTTCTACCCAAAGGATTTCAGTGAATGCCAACCACAAGCCAGAGCCTGTGCTAGCTAACTCCTGGGGCTGGGCTCTCTATACATCTCTCTTTAAGGAGATGACTGGGGAGGATAAAGACCTTCTTACACACAGGTGACTACGGAAATCACAGTTCGGCCCTGCACAGTGAGGAAAAAGAGGAGGCTAGAGGAACATACAGAGGGAGAGGCAGGTGGAGCTGAGAACCAAGGCTGAGATGCAGTAAGCCAGGGGACAGGCAGGTGCCAGCGTTCCAGATAGAGGGAAAGTCACTCAAGGAGCTGGAAAAGGGCTCAGTCAAGAAACTGAACCACGGCCAGGTGCCTGGTACAGGGTGGATGGAAACAGAGATCACTTGGGTCCTGCAGGCTCTGAAACAATGGGCCTCTCTGCCTTGTCCAGTGGGGAGCCCCAAGAGAGACAGAATGAGAGATGGCCAGAAAAACACCCTGCACCAGGGGGAGAGGCGCCCAGAACACGGTCCCACTCAGTAATGTGGAGCCAGGGGCTGACCTCGCTGCAGATCAGTGTTCCTGGGTGTCCAGGAGGGGTGGTGTCTCCTACCCTGGAGCAGCAGGTGGAGGGAGGGCTCTGGGTTCTCGCCTTTGCTTGCACTCGGGACTCAGCTCCCACCTGGGCTAACACACTTCGTTAGCATTCGAGCTTGGCCACTGCTGTGCCTGGGTAAGGGGGAAGGACCTCTGCCCTGGGCAAGGAGATCGGGCCCTGAAATGACAGCTTCCCCTCCCTGTCTGTCCTGGGCTCCTCTTCCCTGGGCTTCACCTGTGCTACCAAAGGACACGGCGAATGTCCGGAGAGTTGGCTTTGCCCCCGCTCCCGGCTCCCCTCTCACTTCCTTCCCTTCACAGTGTTTGCTGAGGTGCCTGCTGCTGGCTGTTTGCTCTGGCTGTTTCCTTCACGGCTGCCTCTGTTTCCCCACATCCCAGGCCCAGAAGCCAAGCAGAGTGGACCTGGAGCCCCGGCACCCGTGGCTCTTCCTCTGGCCCCCAGCAGGCTCCCCAAATTCATGACTCCATAATATTCCTGATTGGCCAAGACCACTCCCGCCTCCTGGGGAACAGGGGCCAGAGGAGAAATGTGGACCGTGGAGTCGGCGGTTCTGGTTTCAGAGCCCGGCGCTGCCATTGCCTAAGCCCAGAGGCCCTGGGAGTTTACAAGGTCCAAGATTCCCTGTCTGCCATTGCGAAGCACGAGCCCACCCACGTGCCTTGGGTGTCGACGTGAGAACGAACGAGGAAGGCTGTGTGAAGGCCCTGCACGCAGTGGGCTTGGGAAACAGTGACTCTGTGATGACGGGGAGGGGACCGGGAGACACCCGGGTTTTCTGACAGCAGAGACACATTATCCCTGTGACAAATCTGGCTCCTCTAGCAGCCTTGGAGTGACCGGGCAGGTGGGTGCTGTGAGCTCCTATAGATCATCTGAGGCTCATCATCCTTCTGCCCCTTCCTTGCCCCAGGAAAAATCAAACATCCCAACCACCTTCCAGCCGAGGCTGGGGGAGACGCCAGAATACTAACATCCACGTCTAGCTTCTATGTGACCAGGACAGAGGTCACAAGTCAGTAGGGTGGAATGGGAAGTCGGGCTCCACCTGGCCCAGTGGCTATCTGGGACCAGGGCAGCTGGCAGCCTCCAAGTTCATCACTTTCCCACCAGCACCGGCTGGGTCGGGCCATTTTGGGCCCATGGCTGTTTCCACCCAAACAGCAGAGTGAGGAGGGAGGGCAAGCACGTGCCCTGCCGGTCCTGCTCCTGACAAGCTCTGGTGACAGGCAGCCAGGGGAGCCCAGGTGCGGAGAACCGGGACTTTGCTGACTCTGTATTTCTGGACCCTTGCCCAGTGCCACCCCTGAACCCCGCAAAATCGAAAGCTGCAAACGGAATGAGTACAGACAGCGACTCTCTGGCTCCATCTCTAGGGTGAAAAGATTTTTAGTAAAATACCTGGAAGGGACTTTGTGGTCACCGGCGTCTTCTTCTAGGTCCTCTGAGGACCGAACGGTTCCAGGTGCTATAAATAACGAGCCTTCGTCAGGGTCCACGTGCTTCCTTTTCTCCTTCTTCTTACTGCTGGTTGGCTCTTCCTGGACCTTTACTTCTAACGGGTTCGCTGTATTTTCTGGGCGTGGGGATCCTTGGGACTAGAAGACAAAAGAGCCCAAGACAAGTCAAATTTCCTGCCAGAGCAGCTGACATCACCGAGCAGCGTCCCAGCCCAGCCACAGTACCCAGTAATCTCCCTCCAGCACCCTCTGCCCCTGAGAGAACCCACCCCAACTCCTGCGCCTTGTGTGGAATTCAAAGGCGGTAGGTAAATGGTAGGAGTGAGAACAGGGCAGGGCTTAGAGTCAGGAGACTCTCACGTCACATCCCACGGAGTCAGCTCTTTGGCCTTGGGCTGGCCTTGACCTCTCTTAGAGCCTTCCTTTTCTGTCTGTCAGGTGGGTACGATATTCAACTCCCAACCGCTTCCCACTGTACCATGGGGTTTCCTAGAGAAGGTGTCTCTCAGAGGGGCAGGAGTTGACTCCTCCACATGACCATCTCCTCCCTGTGAAGTCAGGTGGGTCAAGTGTGCACAGGTGGCCGCGAGCTTGAGTGGTACACACAGGCCAGTTTGGAGTTTGGGGGATGACACTCCACGGTGGCCAAAGGCCACGCGGTGCCACATCTCTAGCTCTCAGTTGGAAAGGAAGAGCTTCTGACCACTGGCATACCAGCCTCCTGAACCCATCAGCAATGTCCCATGACATAGAGAAGCTCAGGGATGGTGGAGCCACCTCCTGGGACCAGGGCAGCTGGCAGCCTCCAAGTTCATCTGAGGGCCAGGTATCAAACCATCCACCCCCTGTCTCCGGAGCCAAATGCCCAGAGCTCGGGTAGTGGGCAGGCGCTTGTGGGAGAGGTGGAGCCAGAGTGTGAATACCAGAGTGTGAATACCAGTCCCCCAGATGCAGGGACGGCCAGGCTCAGGAGGCGGTGCGACCTGCCCCAGTTCACACCACCAGTGCCATGGGGATTCTTCGTCTCCACTTGATTCCATGACCCACCCCCCCAGGGCTCCCTCAACCTGCCCACGTGCTGGAACAGCAGGGCTGGTCTGCCTTCGGCATTCCCACCGCCAGCACTGTGCGGGCCAGGGAGAGGGTCCCGCCGCTGAGTAGTCATTCTAAGTAATGGGGCAGAGCTGCCACTCTGCTCTCTCCCTGTCCCCCACCTGACCCCGACCTTCTGTCCTAAAGGAGCTTTTTGGCCAAACACAATCTGAAGAATCGCCCCCATTGTTGCCCCGTCCCCAGCTTGGGGACCCGAAGGCCTGATCTCACTGACTTTTTAGGCTCCCACAGGGCAGGGCTGGCTTCAGAGAAGTCAGCCTCCAGCAGTGAGAAGAGGCGGAAAGGCAGGTGGGGCTCCTCTCCCTGGGGGCAGTGCGTCCCTGGCCCTGTGGGACCATCTGTCCCACAGATGGCGCACTCACTGCCCTGCCCCAAACGGCCATCTCCTGCCACGTTTGCCCTCTACATCTGGAATTCTCCTCGCCACTGTCCCGAGGGCAAACTGAATGAAACAAGCCCCAGGTGTGGCAGCTTTCCACCTGAGTCCCATCTGAGGCTCCTCAAGCCCCCTCTCCCTGGAGCCCTCCCCAGAGTGCAAGGCTGGCTCCATCCGGGACTTTCTTGAGCAGAACTGTCGTTCACCCACCTGACACTTGCCTATGCCCCAAACCAGCATGCAATACACCTTTGTCCCCGCACCATGCTGGTGTCTAGGGTCAGAGAGTAACACACAGATGCCCATGAGCTCCTGGGGGAGAACAAACCCCATGAAAACCCGCTAAGCACTCAAAGGAAGAAACGAGTCAGACACGTGACCGGCTGCAGGTGCAGGAGCCGCGCCTCTGCCTGGGCAGGGGCTGGGAAGGCTCCAGCAGGTGTCCTTGGCACAGGGCTTTGCAGGGTGACAGCTGAGGAAGGCTATGGGACCAGCCCAGCCCAGAGCGTGGTGTGTCTGGGATTCTGCGGGGCTGGCCTGGCTGGACAGGAAGGCTGGAGAGGGCAGAGTCTCGGGGTCATCTAGGAGTTTGGACTGACCCTGGAGACAGGAGAAGGGAGTGATGGGATACTGAGACAGTGTTCTGGGGTCGCCCCTTGGCGGGCTGCGGGAAGGCTGGACTGGGAGGGAGGAAAGGTGAGAGCCTGGGGAGAGACAAGGGGCACAGGGGGCACTAAAGCAACTGGACTAGCTGGTCACGTTCCCACCCAGCTTCCAGCACCAGGGGACCATTATCCACTCAGAACCCCCTGCAGCTCCACCCCCACCCCCCGCCAGATGCCACATTCCCTAATATCCAATCCTTGGGGGACTCTATGTCCCCCACATCTAACAGTACAGGCAGAATTCTCCTTTTTTGGGGGGGGGGACAGTGTTGACATTGCTGTCCACAGGGGCAGACTGGGTGACAGGTGAGCTGGGTGAGGGCTGAGCCCAGGCCTATCCCTTGGGTATCCCTTGGGGACCCAGCCAGCTGGCTTGCCAAGCTCTCTCTGGCCTCCCTGGACCGCAGTGCTGCATTCCTATCACCGGCATCTGCAGGAAGACCCTCCCCTCCCCTGATTCTCTGCCCCTGCCCACTCCCCAGAGGGCCCCACACGCCTGCTCCCTGCGCACCCCTGTGCCTCTTGAGCTGCTGGGCCTGATGGAGTGGATATGAGTGGTGGACAAGTGTGTGTCCAGCTCCTCAAGCTCAAGAGCGAGAGGCCTCCTTCCCGTGGACACGGCCCATTCCAGGCCACAGGAACTGCAGGGTAGTGCTGAATGTGCCAAAGGCCCTGCAAATCATGGGGTCAGGGAGAGCTGTCCCTGTCCTCCCTAGGTGACTGCAGGGGAAAGGCACTGCAGTTCACTAACACAGCTTCCCTGTTGGCTACAGTTGCTATTTTTACAACAATTACTGCCTCTACCTTGCTGGACCCTCACAAGTGACCTTCACGATCCTTTTAGCAGACCTGGGACCAGGGCCAGGATCGGGCTAAGGTGGATAAGGCCAGCGAGGTGACAATGGTACAAAATTTCAGGAGGGGTTCCCTCTCAGGTGTCAACCTGGCACTTGCCTGAGACTCACAAAAGTGCTGCCCCTCTGATTTAGTGCCCTGGGGTGCCCACAAGGGGAACCTCCTCACCCATGTCATGGAGAAACAAGTACAGAATTTCCCCAGGCAGGAGCCAGGACTCCCCAACCCATGCTCAAGTACCTGAGGGCTCTCCTCAGGGCCACTCTCTTTGGTCTCTCTTGGCTGGTGGTCCTTGTTGGGGGATAGGGGACTGGGTTCTGCAGCTGGCATGGCCCCTGCGGCGTTCCCGTTGACATAGGACGCATGGGTGCTGGCACTGGGGAGGACCCCAACCAGCGTGGAGAGGCTGCAGCTGCTCTGGGCGCTGGCGGCCTCCCTGTTCCTGGGGTCCAGCTCGTGGGGGTAGCCCTCCGGCTCCTCCAGGTCCACATCTTCGCTTTTCAAATCCTCCGTGCCTTCCGCATAGGCCTCCAGAACCGCGGCCAGCGGCACCTCGTAATGCGGGTAGTAGAAAAGGTCGTGGGGAATGACGGAAATCTTGGAGAGGGGCGGGGAGGGCTTGAAATCCAGGCCTTCTTCGCTGTGGCTCCTGAGGGTCTCCAGGCTGACACTGCCACTCGGGGGGTTGGAAGGCAATTCCTCCACAACCCCCGGGAGGCCTTCGGCTTCCCCCTCTTCCTCCTCGAGACTCCGGGTGGACTTTCTCTTGGCCTTCTCATACACCTCTGGCTTTTTATCCACAGGTGCCTCATCCGGGGCCAAAGAGGAGACTCGTGCCTCCTGCTCGGAGCCCTTGGGAGGCTCCTGCCTGTCACGCTTGAGCTGGGGCTCGGGCGACTCCCTCCCGGTGTGGGCGGACTTGCCCCTCTTCTTGCCTAGCTTTTCAGCAGGAGTGTCAGCGGCCACCTCCTCGGCGGGCGTCTTCTCCTGGGGCAAAGGGGCCTCAGGGAAAACCTGGCTGGTGGACGCGAAATCGACGAGGTCGCTGTTAAATTTCGAAGCTTTCAAGGGGATGCCTTCAAAATAGTCCTCCTTATCCGCAGCTTCCACGGTCAGCAGCGTCACCTTGACCTCCTGGGCACTGGCCAAGATGGTGTTTTCTCCAGGGTGGGGAGGAGAATGACCCTCCTCCCTGAGGCCAGGGGGACCCTCGACAGCACCGTTACAGGAGGAGGGATGCTGGGAGGGTTGAGCATGATCGTCTGCCCCTGGCAAGTCCCCGGGGACCCTGGTGGAGGCTGCTCCCGGGACAGCTGAGGGCTCCTGCGTTGGCTTCTTTTCCTGGGCCACTTGGATGGATGGGGCTTGTTCGTCCTGCTTCGGCGGCTCCTGGGTGGCACTCGGGCTCTCTTCAAAGCTGAGGTCGGGACCGTAAAGGGGGTCATTGCTGCAGGAGGCGTCTTTATAGGTGTCAGCCTCAAAGTGGACAGTTTTCTTGATTGGCAAAGAGTTGGACCTCCGGCCATCCTTTCTGGTGGACAAGATGGAAGATTCCGGAGCTGGCTCACTGGTGCTACTCAACTTCCCTGGGCTCCCCTGGAGGACTTGGTCGATGAACTGCTGCATGAAATCAGTGGAGCTTTCGGAGGACAGCGAGCGGCTGGACATGCCACCCCGGCAGAATCCCCTTGTGCTCTCTGGCTGGTCACAGACAAAGACCTTGGTGGGTGGCGGGTGGCTGGTTTCGTGGTTGACAGTGTAGGCCTGCTCCCCATTCTCAGTCAGGAGGAGGACTTTGCTTTCCTGCTCAGGGGGGGTTTCTTTGATGCGGACAAAGGTGGACTCAATGGGGTCTTCTTTATCTAGATCCACAAAATCTTCCTGCAGAGAATCATAGGACGACATGAAATCAATTCAACCTCAAAGTTTAAGTACAATCTATATCCCCCCTCTCAACACACACACACACACACACACACACACATACACACACACACATACACACACACAGCCACTTTGACAAAAATATATATCTGATTAAGATATAAATGGCTACAAGACTTTTGTTCCTACCGAAGTGTGGCAATGTCAAATAAATAAAAAATAAATATAAAATAGTAAAGCTGTGGATGCAAGGAAATCTCAGTGTGCCAATCTCCAGGGAGGGCTGGGCACTTCTTAAGCGAGCAGAGACTCTCAGCTACATCATGCCACTGGACCACCGGCCCAGTCTTGGTGTGCACTGCTGGGCCACTGACCCTCTGAGCTGAGGCATGATGGACCAGACTTTACAGACTGGGAGGGCTGGAGTGGGAGACTAAATCTGGAAGGGCTAAAAACACAAAATGACTTCCTGTCATATGCTTCTGGTCCCGCATAGGAGTTTTAGCGTGTAAGAGTCAGCCAGGGGCCAAGGCTGAAGAGGAGAGACTCTTGGTGGTACTACAGATTGGCCTCCCAGGCCCTGGTAGAGGGAGACTGTGCATACTGACCTCACCCTCAAATAAATGTGAGATCAGAGAACTGAAATGAAATAAGACTGTAACAGAGCTGCTCCTATCACTTCCTGATACAGTCAAAATGCTCAACTGCTTGTTCCGGGGGCTTGACTGGGAAAGGGCTGCCTCCACTGCCATGGGTATTGCCCTCAGAGGGAACTGATGTAGCTCTCATCAGACCCCAGTTGGTTCCCAAGGGAGTGAGTGTTCTAGAAGAGCAGGCCTGACCCCTGAATCACTCTCTGGCTTGCTACCTCAGAATGTGGTCTCTCTGGCACACACTTCCACCATGATGGTCCTCACTAGAGCCAACTGATGCTCCATGCCCTTCAACATCCGAGACTGTGAATTAAATAAATCTCTTTCCTGGGCATACTACCTAGCCTCAATTATTTTATTATATCAACAGAAAACAGAGTAATAGAGGAAAAAAATGTTATCTACTTCAATCTCTACTATCCTTTTATATATTAGGTCTGGTATAAAAATTTTTTTAAATTCCTGAAGGATCATGAAAATAAAACCTATAATCAAGAGAAGCAATAGGCACTAGAAGTAGAACCACCAATGACCCAGTGTAAGAATTAGCAAAAGAAAAGACTCTGGAATAACCCTTTAATCTACATTCGAGACAAACAAAGGAAGTTCTTCACGCTGAAGGGAAATGATTAGAGATAGAAGCCCGGATCTGAAGGGAAAAAGTACCTGAAAGAGTAAACGTACGTGATGGAAAAGACTATTTACACAGTTTCTTCAAAAGTCTACTGTTTAAAGCAAAAATAACAAAGTATTGTGAACTAAAATGGATAAATAAGTAAAGGAAAGTTAAAGGGTAAAGGGTAAAGGGTAAAGAAATGGAGTTACACTGTTGCATTTAGAGACATACAAGATACATTGTATCTGAAGTGTGTGATAGTCATTTAAGGTAGGTTAAATGATGAGCATTACAATCCCTAGAGCAACTGATTCATCAAGTTGTTAAAATGATAAAATGATTCATCAAGGAGATGTGGCTACCAGGCCCATAGAGGAGAGAAAATGGACACCAAAAAACGGTTGTGTAATTAAAAAAAGAAAAAAAGAGTAGTTAGGAAGAACAAAGGAACACAGAACAGATGGGATCAATGGAAAAGGGTAATCCAGATGGTAGATTAAAACCATGTAGCAGGACAGAAAATGCACTGATTAAATGAAACAGCTTGTCAGATGGATAAGAAATAAGACTCAGCCGTATGCTGTTTATATGAAACATACTTTAGTGCAAGTGCACATATCCATGAAAGAAAAAAAGATGGAGAAATATCATATAACACTAATCACAAGAAAGCTATGACTACATCAGAAAAAGCATACCTCAAGACAGAGAGAAATGTCATAAAAACAGAGGTGTCAAGTGATTAGGAAGATATAAGGGCCCTAAACGTCGACACACCAAATTGCACAGTACCCACACACAGAAGGCAAAACCCGACCAAACTGAGACAAGCAAGTCTGCAGACCTAGTTGGAGACTGCCAAACACTTCTTTCCTGTTCTAACTGACAGAAATGCATAAAAAAGAATCAGTCTGCAGATGGACTATTAGAACAGCATATTCACACATGAGCAGTATATTAAAGAATTAATTAAATTCTTTAACTGCCTAAGACACATTCTTCTCAAGTCCGTGTGGTATATTCACCCAAAGAAATCATATGCGGGGCCATGGAGTGAGGCACAGCACCTCGTCTGTGGCCAGCGCTGGGTGAGTGTGGCATCGTGAAGGCCCAGCTCAGGGACATCTGGTGAGCTGAGAATTCTCATCTGTGTCCCTTGAGGGTGTAAACGATTGCTTTGCAGTGAAGCACTGTGTCCTGTGACCCAAGACGAGTTTCCCCGGGAACTGTTCTTTAATTTCTCTATTCTCAGCTGCATCTCTGATGCCAGCACTGGGGACACCCAAGTGTCAGCTGGGCTGAATCCTGACTGTGGCCTTGATTCACACAAATACCACTAAGTTTGAGTTGATTTCAAATTCTGCCTCCTGATTAAGAGGTCAGGATTAAGGAATGCCCTGAGGCCTGGTATTTGGAATTTAATAAAAGGCCAGGAAAACTGAATTGCAAAAAAATTATCACTGCTCTACGCGGAACGTCCACTGTTGTGTCAGGCCCAAGGCTGGGAACGGTCTAGTTATTCTTCACACGGCCCTGAAACGTGGGTAACATCTCCACTTTACAGTTGGCATCTGATGCAGATGTCAGGGAAGCTGAGTAGCCAGCCCGAGGTCACAGGGCTCCAAACGGCAACAGTGGCACTCCTGCCCAGGAATCCCTGCCTCCACACTGCCCTGGGAAGTATTCCAGGGTGCTAGGACGGATGGGACGACAGCCGCAGCACCTGGTGAGGCTCTTCAGTGGGAAATAGGGTGCCAGCCTCAGATGCATGTTGTGAGGGACCTAACAAAATCAGCTTTGGAACCTCAGAGAGCTGGGGTCAAACCCCAACTTTGTACTTAATAGCTGATTGACTCTGGGGAGACGTTAAACCCTCTCTGAGCACCCAAAGTCCCATCTATAAGAAGAGGCTACTGATTCTGAACCAGGCTGGATTGCAGGAATGGCCTGGAAACACAGGGGCACAGTAAAATAATCAGTATCCGGCAAAAAGGGCAGTCTGTCCCCCTTTCCTACAAGCATTCTTTAACTCTTTATGCATCTCTTCTTTTCTGTTTATATTTACAACTGCTTGATATAATAATGTGTTTGCTGACCCATTAATGATTTTCCCTATGGAACCAAGCTACACAAAGTTAGGGACCTCATCTGTCCAATGGTATGCCTGAAGGTATGATGTAGGACGTATGTATCTATCCATCTGGGGGTGGAATCCAGGGCCTGGTGCATGCTGGGCAAGCACTCTACCATGGAGCTGCACCCTCATCCTGGTCCAGCTCCTTGCTGAGTCCCCTGAGCCAGCACTCCACATCCAGTAAAGAATGGATGAATTCACAAGGCTGTGGCTATTGTCACTGTCATTCTTTTTGTTGACGTTATCTCAGGGCTGTGCATGGTGGGGGAGGGGTGTTCAATGAAGCCATCACTTCTGCAAAGTGATTCTGCTCCAAAAATATTCTATCCCAAGTATATCTGAGGTTCTGAGGATATAAAGCCTGTCTGTGAAGGGTATGTGTGTGTGTGTGTGTATATATATATTTTGTTGTTGTTATTGTTTTGTTTTGGGGGGTACCAAGGATTGAACTCAGGGGAACTCAACCACTAAGCCACATCCCCAGCCCTATTTTGTATTTTATTTAGAGACAGGGTCTCACTGAGTTGCTTAGTGCCTTGCTATTGCTGAGACTGGCTTTGAACTTGCAATTCTCCTGCCTCAGCCTCCTGAGTCTCTGGGATTACAGGCGTGTGCCACCACAACTGGATCAATATATTTTTAACACTGATAAAGGCTGGTGATTGTTAAGATGTTCCGCCTGACAGCTGAACAATCAAGTGGCTGATCTGCATCACGAGTGGATGTCTTTTATAATTTTATAAAGTTTGCAATGGGAAGAAGTTTGGCAAAGAGGTGACCAGCTTCCTTCCCAACTTTTACACGTAATCTATGTTATATATAATCTGGAAGTTAAAACATGGCAAGGCAAGGACCACCAACTTGTGGTTGTCCCTGTTAACAGAGAATGACAGTCCAAGTCCCCGCTGGGTCTGATGGCAGCCAGTGGAAATGTACATTTTTTGAAACTGAAGGCAAGGAAAACCAACATACAGCTTCCAGCTCCGGAAAACGTTCTAGAAACTGGGCCACGTAAGTCACGATCGACTGCTCGTCCGGCGTGTCAACCATGATGTCTGTCAAGAGAGACACGGGGGTTAGCAGGACACAGGGTTTCCCCACAACACTGCAGGGCGCTCAGTGGAGAGGCCCACCGATCATCGAGGGCTTTTTCTTTTTCTAAGTAAGGAAATTTGGGCTCAGAGAGGGTGAATCACTTCACTGAAACCTCACAGCCGACTGGTGAACCAGGATGGAAAGCCACGGCTTCTTATTCTGAACGTGCCGTCCATCCTTCCCTGTGTCTTAGTCGCTCCCACCGGGAGCAGATGGCTCACTGCTGGCTCCACCAGCAAGTCTGGTGACTTGTGCACCCCACTGACTGCCACAGCGAGTCCCGAATCGCTCAAACCCCTGCAAAGCCATGTGACAGAAGAGACAGCCGAGTTCCTTTGCTCGGTGCATACCCTTCCACTCTGCCACTCTGCTGCTGGGACCTGCCCTTGAGGGGACAATCTGAGCTGCCTGCTGAGCTTTCTGCAGTGATGCCCACTCTGGGCAAAACAGATCATTTCTGAAGCCCCCTCGACGGCCACAAGCAGGGAGGAGCCGAGTGAATTTTAGTAGGCCTACTGGGTGCTTTTTATCTTTACTGGTGCCTGACATCACAGCAATATGTGAGATGCATGTGTCAACTTAGCTAAAACAGTAAGAGACGAAATGACACATATACTGAACAATGCCAACTACGTCACAATATTATAAATGGGTGCCTTAAAAATATGGGAATATAGGAGATAGAAGAATTTTTTTGTATTTTTCAAATTTTCTACCTGGAACAGCAGGGGGTACGTTTGTGATAAGAATCACTGAGAAGGAACCACGGAGGAGTGAGCGTCGTGCTACCTTCTGGTTCCAGGAGCCTGGGGATATGCAGGGCCTCGTGTGCGACTCGGAAGGCCTTCTCCAGGTTCTCCCGCGCGGAGTCTTCCAGGGCCTGCTTCATGTCCACCAGGCTGGGGTCAATGGCCTTGATGACAGCCAGGAAAGCCAGCCCGCTCCGCCAGCTGCCCGCGAAGTCCTGCACCGCCACGCCATACCTGGAGGAGGACCACAGCGGCACACCGGGCAGGTGAGTGAGCCGATCAGGACAGGGGCAGTGGCTGCAGTGGTCCCAGGTGTAGACCCCTGCCCCATGGTCAACCTAATGCACAAGGCAGGTGGCACATGGAAGCCATTCATGAGATGGCACCGACTATCGTTATGACTAGGAATAAAACAACAATTTAAAAAGTGAGGGGCAAGGGAGGGAATCCTGCCAGGCATCAATTCCCTCAGCCGCTGGCCCGGGGTACGCTGGGGGCTGGCGCTTTGCTCTGGTTCACCTATCTCAGTTTTGAGCAGGCCAAACCTGACCTTGACTATGTTACCGCCCATGTTGTTACTTCTATAAAGTAGATACAAACTCCGAAAGACACCCTGAGGCTTAATAATAAATGGGCACAGATTTCCAGAACCCAAGAGATGAGCCATTTGGGAGTTGGCGCAGCGACAGCCCCTCTGAGTTCCGTTCAGATCCTCTCAGCAGCTCTGTGTGCAGACACCGCTAAGCACAGTGCTCCCTGCTCTGAAGGCACACAGGAAGCATCTGCATGGGCACAACTGGCATCTTAAGAGCTGGGAACTCCCCTCTTCTTCGCCCCTCCAGGGAAGGGGACCTCCTCCCTTGGCCTGAAAACCCCTCATTAACTGTTCGGTGGGCAGAGGGCCCAGCTTACTTCCTTGTTTTTCTCTGTACCCATGCCAACAGGGTCTTGATGGCCTTCCTCTGGTCTTTCACTGATATTGCCACGTTCCTCTCGGTGGTGGGTGTAGGTGGGTAGGAAGAGTCGGAATCTGTGCCCCCCGAGCCAGGTGACAGACTGGAAGATGGAGAGTTTCTGTTGAGGTTGCCCGTGAGCTCCTTAATCTAGAAAGAAAACAGCAGTTCAGACGCCAGGGCCAGACAGACGCTCCCGGTGAGTAGCCCTGTGTTGACCTGCAGCTCTCGGACGTGGCTGGAGGGACCGGCTCACGCAGAGCTGGTTCTCTGAAGGGAAGAAGCCTGTCTGACGGTGGCTGGTTGCTCTACTCGGGGTATAGGTACCCTCCAAGGGAAGGATCAGCCCCTCAGGCAGCCTATGCCGCTCTGACAAGCCTCCGCACACAAGGTCTTCCTGACCCGACTCCATGAACCCCCCTTTCCTTATCACCTGCCGCTCCCAGGAGATATTTCAAGGCCACTGTCCCTGCTCAATCGAGTTCTGCTGCCTGGCTGTCCCTTTCTTCCAATCACATGCACTTAGGAGAAATGCAGAACCCCAAGCCTTGCCCCAGACCAACCTACGGAGTCTGAACCTGCATTTCATCCATTCCGCAGCGAATCTGAGAAATACTGCTCACACTCACTCCTATTCACTCTTCAAAACCCAGCTCTGGTCCCTTCCTCCAGGAAGTCTGCCTCACTTCCCTTGCTCAGTTGAGGTCACTGCCCTGCTTGGGGCTCTTACATCACCAGGTCACACCTTGGTCATGGCCTGCACCCCAGAATTCCATAGCAGGGAGTGACCTGTCTGTGATCCCAGAGGGTTGAGAGGACAAGGGCCTCACAGGCCCAGCAGCTGGCATGCTGGAGAAACTCAACAGATATGTATCAAATGAATGAGTGAGGCTCTGGTTGGAATTAAAGCTTTGACTTTTAACCATTTCTGATCATTTTAGCATCTCTTAGGATACTCCACAATAGGGTTCAGTAACTAACTCCTGCATAAAACACTAGACAGTGGACAAAGAGCCCGTGCACGTGGCTTTTCTGGCTGCTCACCACATTTTATGACCACTGCTCCCATTTCACAGTTGTGGATATTGAGGCTCAGAGATACAGAGACTTTCTTTTTAAGTTCAAGATTCACACAGAATGGGATCCAAATTTTGTTTGTGCTTGTGTCTCTGGACAGTTCAAGGAAATCTTTCGCAAGTGGATCATTTAATAACAAACCATTACTTTCTATTTCCAGTTCTATTTCAGTGAACAGCAAAGTCAAAGTCAGTAGCAACCGAGTCTCACTGACTCCCTTGAGTTGGACCCACACTGTTCTGTTGGTACTAAGTGGACTCGAGACCCTTATAGTGTGTTACAGAAAGGACATTATTTTACCTGGAAGAAGAGGATTATGTTCCATATGAGGCCAAGAACCAAAGAGGGGTTGCCGTCTGCTATTTCTGCCGCATCGATGCTAACCAGCTTAACCTGGAGAGAAGCAGTCCGTCAGCTTACAGGGGGTTCCAAGGAGGACCATCTCTGCTATTTTCTGTCATCCTCTTAAGCCTGTTTCTCTTGCTCACCCTGTGACATTTGGCGCTGGCCAAGACCATCTCTCGGGGACACTCAGAATGCAGAAGCATATTTAATGAGCACCTACGCAGTGCTTTCCATGGGAGACACCATCAACTCAGTCTGTGGTCATAGCAACCCTAGGAGGCAGGGGCTTCTATTAACCCTATAGTTCAGAGGACATTTCAGAGAGGTTAAGTACAATGAGCCCAGGGCCACACAATTTGCAAGGTTTCATTCAGTAGATCTTTTCCAAGGATAATTGGCAGATGCCCAGGAGATCTGCTTGTAGGCTGCACCTAAGGTCACTGCGCCTCTGGATTGAGAGCACCCTTGGACAAAGACAGAACACCAGCAATCACAGACCCTGGGGGTGGGGTGAGAGAAGGGTAAGGCCACAGGAGATTAGAAATACTGAGTTAAGATTGATAACCAGAGATTCTGTACCACTGCAGAACATTTTACTGACTGGATACAATGTTTCCATTGGTTACAATGTTTCCACTATAGAAATCCCTAAGGAATTACCTGCTTTATTTAATCATAGAATGATGCTCTTGGTAAAGTCCTAAGGCCAAGTGTGACCCCTGGATGGGCAGCACCATCACCTGGGAACTTTTAGAAATGCAAGTTATCCCCTACACTGATCATCAGCTCTGCATCTCCCTGGGAAGGGCCACATTGCCTTCTCTTTGCTGAACAATTCTATAAAAATGTCTAAAACATCCTTCAGGGGGGAGAGAGGAGAAGAAATAAGATAAGTCAAGATAAACCCCACAACTCCCACTGCAAAGTTCTGCCTGGGGCACTGGGAAAGGAAAAATGAGGAGAACCATTACACAGATCTTTTCTTTCCCCACTTCTTTCCTCTCTCCCTTTCCATCACAGCTTTTCCAATCATCTGACACTGGACCCTGATCCTGTCTGTTTGCTGGGGGTTCCTGACACCGCCGGCCCGTCGGCGAGGCCTGGCTCACCTAATTGAGGGAGACTCCCGAGTCCCCTGGCTGACGTCAGTTTGGCAGGCTGATGCCAAGAATGTAATTCAGACAACACAGGCTCATCGCGGGCAGGCGGGAGGCCAGGAAGGAAGTTGTCAACATTGTGAATAACACAGCCAATCAAATTTGGGTCCCATATTCTGTCCCCATCCATCACAAGCACGTGTCAACAGGACGGATCACTGGCCAGCCTTGGCTGCCCTTTCCCAAACCCCGGCTCCTGGCAGTCCCTGTTTTCATTCCAGTCCAGGGGAATCAAAGCAATCAGCCAGCCTGTCTTCCTGTCTTTCTGCCCGCCTGGAGGAAGCCCAAGTGACAAGTGATGGCCACCTCCCTCTGAGCTGGGGTTCCAGAAGGAGAGAAAGGCAGAGCTGCCTTGTGGGGTGCCATAAATATGATGGTGTCCTGTCCCGAGAGAGGGGAGAGGAGAGGGCTGAGCAGGGAGCAGCGGCCCTTGGAAAAGCCATTTGGAGACTAAAACACTGTCCAGGGCCAAGAGAAGGTGGTGGCAACTAATGATCTCAGGGCCTAAAGAAGCAGCTAGCCCAAAGGTTTTGGTTGCCCGGACATTTTTCATTTTGGGGGGAATGAGCAATGTCACAGCCCGACTTGAGTCTAGAGCTTCAGATACGGTTTCCCCTCTTCCTCTCAACTCAGCTGGGCTTTCCAGACTGAAAGCAAATGGACCAGCTAACTGGTTTCTGGGGTTACTTCTCCCTCTGGGGTGGCACACCTGAGGTGCTGACCCAGGGCCTTGCTCCCTAATGGAGCAAGAGTTGCCGGCCAGTGGCTTTCACAGGTTAATTCTTTTCACAATCACAGAGCACCCATTTCACAGAGGAGGAAGCCAAGGCTCATACTGAATGGCTTGCAGGAGGTCACGGGCCTGGTCCTGTGGGGCAACCCATTTCTGCCACCGGAGTCAACACTGTGATATTCAGTGGGGAGGATGGGCAGCTCTGTGGAGCCACATCTGCACCCCGGAGCAAGCAGGACCAGTCTGCCCAGGGATCCAGCCCCCAGCTCTGGGCACTGCTTTGGCTCACCAGAGCCAGTGAGGGCTGTCTTCCTGGAGCAGGGACAGCAGGACAGGGAGGAGCCACAGGGCCCCTGTGTACTTTGTGGATTCTGGGAATGGCCAGAGGCTACATCTGGAAGCCCTGTTCGCATCTGTCCCCCTCACTGGTGGGCATCTTCCTGCTGGGCCACTCACTCTCCCACCTGCTTGTTAAAGGGGCCAAGCTAGGCACAAAGCTGACATGCACCACCCTGGGGATTTTCCCAGATTTGTACTGTAACTGAAGACCAGAGGAGCCATTAATGGCCTATCGTATAGGAAGGCATTGTGGAACAGTTTGGGAAAGATTTACACATGGACTATGAAGGCCAGGCCTTCCTGAGTCTCGGCTGTGTACTTTGCCATCCTGGGCTCAGCCCTGCATCCTTGACTCTGCAGGATCACAGCTTCTCTGCCAAGTAAGGCCTCTTCTTCCTGACCCCAAGTGTCCTGAAGGCTCAGATGCACTTCCAACATGGGGCACAGCCCCAGGCCATGGGCAACACATGGTAAATGGTCCCAGGGGCCTCTAAGAAGCAAGCCTATTGCCTACCCCAGGGGTGAGGATATGCACAGGAAGAGGGTTCACCATGTCACAGGGACTCATCCGTGTGGGCAGTCAGTATAGGAGAAGCGCATTTCAAGGTCAACCAAGGCGGAAGAAAGAGCAACAAGTACCTTCGACAGTTGCTCCAAGGCCTCATGCTGTCCCAAGTACAACGTCCCTATGGAATGCAGGGTAGGCACTGCGACAAAGATAAGGCTGACCCCCACACAGAGGTGGTAGTCGCAGTGAGCAAAGCCCATCAAGAGCGGGGAGTGGCAAGAGCTCCCCAGTGAGCCCTATTCTGGGCCCGGTAGGCTTTGCTTCTGTCACCTACTTAGAGAGGTAAGTAATCTCCCCACAGTTCCTGGAAGTGAGTGAGTGACCACCGGCTCCAGGCCGGGGCTGATCCACGTTCACGTTCAGGCTCAGGGTGTGACTAACTCTGCAGACAGGAAGCCTTTCAATAGATGTAGGCGATGCCTTCTTTTTAAACAGCTTCATTGAGAGAGAAGCAATGTCTGTTCCATGCACCCCCCTAAAGCACTGGATTTAGCGGTGTTTAGTGTAGGCACAGGTGCAGGGAAGCTCTGCCACCACCAATTTTAAGACATCTTCGCTGCCTCTAAAAGAAGCTCCATACCCTCTCTTTTCACCTTGTTCCTCTGCCTCCCCCAGCCCTTAGCGACCACTACTGCACTTTTATCTCTAGAAGTTTCCCTGTGCTGGGCATGTCACATGAATGGGATCACATACTGAGCACTCCTACTCCCAGGCTGTAGGGGGCCACCTAGAGGCAGAGGGGCAGGAAAGTGGGGTCAGCCCTCACTGATCCTCCAGGTGGGCTCTGCAGCGATCCTGGCACCTGGCATCCCTGGGCACGATCCCCCATTCTCCGGGCTTTCCGTTCATTCCATGAGCTACTTGGCATCCTTTCAACAAATTCCCTTCTGCTGAAATCAGCCACCATCAGCCTCTGTGACTTACCCGAGGACCCAGATGAACCAGACGTCAGGATAAAGTTTTAGCTGAAGACTTTTTTCTTTTCTTTTTTTTTTTAAGCTTAGGTTAATTGCTGAAATCTAATGAAACTAGAGCTTTGGAATTTCAACCCTCTTGGGCCACCCTAACCCATCTGCAAGGGATCCAAACACAGAAAAGATGGACTCAGCCTCCAAAGTCCTATCAAAGAGGAGGGGATGCTAAGATGTACCCCCGTACCCTTCACCCCCTCTCCTCCTTTGTTTTTGTCACATTCTAAGTCCTAAGAGAAAGTTTCACCCTCTGGTACGTCTGCTGCACTCTTAGAAATGCAAAGGTCAACTAAATTCCAAAGATCTGAGAGCCAGTCAGCAGCCCCGCTCCGCCCTCCCCCAGGCTGGCTGAGCATCGAGTTCCAAAGCTGGTAGACATGGGGTGGGGTAGGCAGGGTCAGGCAGTGTCCCCCATGAACTGATTGCCATTCACTGGAGCTCAGTTTACTTTGGCCATGCTAGCTGGATGCCCGGTTCACATTTCGTGACCAGCACTGGACTTCCCACGAGTCCTTCTGGTCACAGGACAAGCTCCCATTCACAAGAGGAGCTCCAAACACTTACATTGCTATCTTCCAAAAACTTAAGAGCTTTCGCTATGTTGTTCAGCCGAAAAATACGATGTGATGAGGATTTGTATTCATGCAGCTGTAAAACAGAAGGAGAGGAACCAGTTAACCCACCCAGGCACCTCGGGAGGCCCCAGGGTGGCAGGGGATGGGGTGGCACGCTTCTCTTCTTCTTTACCCTTTTCACATGAATTTCTGGAGAAAGTTAGGGGCCTGTGGCTAAAACCCACCTGGACTTCATCCAACCCCATCCATTTGCATCTTGGGGTGTGCAAATGGAACGTCAGGGACCCTCAAAACAGTCAGCTTTGTGCGGAACCTGGGACTTAACTCACTGGAGCTGGCGAATGCAAGGGACCCAAATAAGTCTCCAAGGGACAAATCTGTCCAATTTCTCTCTTCCAGCCAGCTCCTGGCTTGTTGGAATCCCCTGTCCTCCAGAGACCGGCAATAACATGCTCTCCTCGCTGCAGGGACACTCTAGTGGGGACAATGAGCTGTCCTGCATTACCACTCAGCTGCTAAATCATCCAGCCCGAGCCCTCCCTGGTGGCAGCAGATGTTTCTGGTTTGGGCCAAGAGCTTTGTGGGCCGTTATCTCAGGTGGGGAGAGAGAGAGAGAGAGAGAGAGAGAGGCCTGCAGAAGCGAAGACTCTGACAACACCCCAGGGTAGGGCCCCCTTCGGAGGCTCCCGTGCTTCCTGGGAAGCATGTGCCACTTCAAGGCCAAGCTAACGGGGAGGCCGAGGCCTGCTCTTGGCTCCTGAGGACGAGGAGGAGACACCACCAAGGCCACCACGGGGGCTGCTGCCCGTGCTCTGACACCCGAGTGGGGAGCCTGTGTCACTGGGAGTGCAGAACAAGGGGCCAGAGCACAGTTTCTCACGCAGCCTTCTGGGGCCCGTGCTGCTGGCTCCCTGGAGACCTGCTAAGAAGCCAAGTGCTATTTCTGCAGCAATGGGTTCACCCTCCACTAGAATTCCTTGCCTGTCCCCACACGGTCCCTCTGAGCGACGGGCGTCTCCTCCTCTGCTACTGGGAAGGCACAGGTGGGAGGGGTCGGTGAGAGCCCAGCCACGCTGGACCTGAGAACAGCAGTGGGGGCTCTGACGGGACAGCCCAGAGCAGACGGCATTAGTCCTTGCTGGCTGGGCTACGTCCCGTAGGCACGACGTGTCACCAAGTCCAATCCAAACACCGGAGTCTAGAGCAACACTTTCAGCCTCCACACGACTGGGGCTTTGGACTGGATCCCCCTCAGGGAACATGTGGCAATATCTGGGTGTTTTTGGTCACTGTACCAAAGGGTGCTAGTGGCACTTAGCGGTCAGACACTCAACATCCTGAGGTACACAGGACACACTGCACAACAAGCACTACCTGCCAGAGACCCACTCCAGGCGGAGGAGAAAAAGAACCACTCTGTGAGAAGCAGACACTGGGACCACGGAGAGGAACGAATGCCCACATCAGTGGACATCCTTCAAGGTCAGTGCTATTTAAAAGAATGTTCTAGAAGCCAGCAGTTCTAGCGCTAGCCTCAGGTTAGATCACAGAATTTGGTTGGTAAACATCCTTCAATTTTTCTGATTCTTAGCTGTTATTCTGGTTAATAACTGGCTAGCTGCACTTTAATTTCTAGTTCCAATTCTTACCTATCACAGGTGTGCAGTAAACACTGGACATTTACTTATTTACTCACTAAGATATACTGGCTTTTTAAAAAAGATATGGCTTAGCTACAGGTTTACATCACACTTACTCACTGACAAGGAGAGTCGCCCTTCTGTGAGTCTGACTGTAGGACTTACGCACCTCCTGGCGCGTGTGGCACTCCATCTGCCCCTGTGGTCATGCACTGGAGCTTAAATGCCCCCCAAAGGCTGAAGGCCTGGTTGCAAGCCTGTGAGGCTCCCAGAGGTGCTGGAACCTTTTACAGGCAGAGCCTAGTAGGCAGAAGTGTGGTCACTGGGAGTTTATCCATAAAGGGGACACTGGGACCTCAGCCTCTTCCTCCCTCTCTCTCTCTCTCTCTCTCTCTCTCTCTCTCTCTCTCTCTGCCTCCTGGCGGCCCTAGGTGAGCGTCTGCACTGCCATGTGCTCCCAACCCTGAAGTTCTGCCTCATCTCAGTCCCAAAGCAACGGGGCCAAATGACCTTGGCCTGAAACCACGAGCCAAATAAACCTTCCTCCTCACAGAGGCTTGTCAGAGCCACCGAGGGCCAGCACCCGTCTACTGGACAGAACCCTTCGGCACTGCTTCCCTGTGCGTCTTATTTCCTCCGGATCCTTCTGTAACATACGTACCAGGTTTCGCCCAGACAGGACTTCTAACAAAGCCATTAGGATTTTGCCATCTTGTATATCAACGAATAGGTCTGTAACTTCTAGAGGTGGGTCACACTGTGGAGCATGGGGAAAGAAAGCAGCCGATTAGTGCCCTGCGTAATCCACAAAACTATGTCAGAGAGGCAGGTTTCAGTGCGAGAGAAGACTTCCAGACATCCAGGTCTGTCTCTAGGCAGAAAGCCCATCCAAGGGAGTAAGAGGCCCGTCCCCTGGAGGTGACTCCTGGGCAGCACTCGCAAGCCACCTGGCAGGTGAGCTGTGCAAGAGATTCAGCAACAGGAGACTAATTGAGTAAGTGACCTTGGGGATCCTCCAAGCCGGAGATCTCAGACCCCAGAGTTGATCACATCCATGTTTCTACTTACAGTTAGAAAGAAATGGCACGTCCTGATAGCCTTTGGATTTGGGGAAACCAAGGCTCAAAGAGGATGGGTGAGAGATCCAGCGTCTGGTTAAACAGCCCTTTGGTAAAATTCTGCTCCCTGCATCAGGCCATGATGGCGGGACTCAAGTGTACCCCAGATCTGCACTGGGTTAGCTGCACTCTAGCCTCAGGCTGGGTATTGGCAGGGTCCCCCAACCTTCAGACGCTCCTGTCTCCAGATGTGCACCCGCCTGAGGGTCTGTCAACTAAATGAACTTGATAATAACCCCTCTGATGTGGCATGGTGGGGACTACCCCCCGATATACACATTTTTTTTCTTAGTGCATTATAGTCGTACATACTGATGGGATTCGTTGTTACATATTAGAACATGCACATAATGCAACAATATAATTTGGCCAATATCCCTCCCAGCACTTTCCCCTCCCTTGGTGCCTACCACTCTTTGTTCACTTTCCTCTTCTGAACTCCCTTTGATTTTTAAGAGATCTACCCCATGGTGGGGACTTAACGTCATGGAGCAGGGTCAGAAAACCTGCATTCTTCAGGGGCTCCGGGAGAATTCCTTTTGGGACTGGGATTTTGGCCAGTTGAGAGTGGTTAGCCTGGGTGCTCTCTTTGCTCCTGGGGACAAAGGGCGGACTGAGCTTTCACACAGGAGGCATGAGTAATGGGATGCAGTGACCCTGGGCCGTGGCAGCCCTAGCCAGCCAGAGACCCCAGGTGGGAAAAACCTTGGCGACACAGTGGAACTGTGGCCAGTCGCCCTTCTCCTTTGGGAAAGTCCTCTTCCTTTCCATCAAGCCTTGGAAGGACTGTGCTTTATTTTCTATTAGGGGAAAGCAGCATTTCCTTACCTTTTATACGAGTTTCCGAGCCCCTAGTTAGTCAAAACACAGGGTGATTCCACCCACAGGTGCACAGAAAAAGGTTCTGCTTCGAGGGCGACAGCAACTTTGAACCAAAAGGCAAACTATTTTCTTTGCAAACTCCCCCAGCTCCTTGGGCACATTCCACACCAGACACGACAGCCTCGGGTGACTGTGGCTCTTACGGAAATGTGATTCCTGCTAACTCGAGGCAGAAAGGAGACACCCGAACCAAACCCCCCTGATGAATGGACTAACAAAATTTCCAGTTACCGGCCCTGACTGGGGCCGGGCCTGACTCTGGAGTTCAACCTAAAGAATAATTTCCACTGGCAGTTCCTGTAAGTGCCTCCGCCACAACATCAAACAGGGCCTTGGCCGGGGTCCACCCTGCGGGGTGGCAGGGGGAGGCGTTGAAACCGCTCCAGGGAAAACAGTCCCAGCCTGAACGTCCCGGGCTTCAGGAGATGGGTATGGCCGAGTCCACTGCACCCCCAGGGCTTTCTGCATGATCTAACTCCTTAGGTAAATGAGGGAATTTTTCCAGAAGCCAGAGACTCAGTAAATATTCCTGACAGCCTTCAAATTACAGTTAAGCCCAACTCACCAAGGAGTCCCTGGTTCCCGCCCATGAGAGGCCGCTCTTGAAAGTCTCAGGGTTAGAACACGGCTGTTAATTTTCCCCTGTTTATTATGCTTCAGGTTCAGGTGCTATCAGATTTATCTACAGGGCAGCCGCTACCCACCTGCCCAGAGAAAGGGGCAGGAAGTTGGCAGAGGAGAGAATCCTTGGAATGATAGCTGCTGACACAGGTTCACTCCGGGTGGCGAGGGAGTGCAGGAGGTGTCCCTGGCCCTGGATGATGCTCTGTTCTTTTCTGTGTTTATTTATTTACAAATAATTTTAAAAAGAAACAATGACAGAAATCCTCCCGGCTCTCCTTGGCCCCACAGCAGGAGTCTCAGCCACCTTGGCGCACGTCAGGCACCTCACTGTAGAAGCAGCACTGAAGGTGCACTGAGAATCCAGGCCAGTGGCAAATGATTCCTAATGCTTCCTGCATGATAAGGAAGCGTTTTATCCACAGAGTTCAGGTCACAGCCCTGTGTCACCCACATGCAGCAGGGAGCAGAAGTCCGGTGGTCATGTGCCTGCTCGGGAGATATTCTAGCCTAAAGGCGAACTGTATGAATAGGAATTTCAGTCAAGAGTTCTGATTCCCAAGATCCACACTGACTTTCTTCTGTTTTCTAATCATTCAATGACCTCCGCTAAGCGCAGAGAGCCGTTGCTCTAGCACATTTAAAAGGAGAGAGGAGAAAGGAGACACACTGGGTCCCATAAAGTGGAGTGTCACCAGCTTCCAACAGAAATGAGACCCTGGCTGGTCTTCAGCACCAGAGAGGAAGTTGGAAGAGGGGAAGTCGGCGACAGGAATCCTGATGAACTCAGCTGTCTGAGAAAAACAACACTCCATCCTGCAGCTCCAGCCCACGCAGGATACCTTAAGGAGGGTCTGGGCTTCCGCTGGCCCCCCTGAGCCTCGCATCCTCCAGAAATGAGTGTCTCCCCTCCCCCTCCCAGCCCTGCCCTCCCCACTCTGGTCTGCAGCCCCTCCTTTGATCTGGGGCTGGCTTTGGTCTGGTGGGTACAGGTGCAGTCCACAGAGAAAATGCAACTCCAAAGGGAAGGGCCAAAGGACGTAAGGAAGAGAGGCAGGGAGGGCCGCTGAGCCCAATACCCAGCAGAAGCCGTGCAACACCGGGTCTGGGTGCCTCGTTTCCCGCTTCAAACTGGACAGAGGGAATCCGGGCTGCTGTGAGGACTAACGAAGCTCCTGCTGGTGCCTGGTACTAAGCATGATCGGTGTGGGTGAAGCACATCACAGGGGCAGGCAACGTCTCTCATCAACGGGAATGTCCTGTCACTAGTCTGGCTTTGACGAAAGACACATGCAGGGCTCTTGCACAAAGCAGCCCAATGCCTGCAGATGGCTCTTAATGTGTCCCACGGTGGATGCCAGGATGCTCCTAAGTGTCTGAGGCTTGGGTGAGGCCTTCTTGGCTGTGGGACTGTGCGGGTTTTCAATATCAAATGCCTCCTGCCATTTGCTTCGTGGATCCAACGGCCCAGTTAGACCGAGGATCCCAGGAAGACAAACTGTGTCTTATCTCTGTGCTCCTGACACCAAGTGTGGGACCAGCAGCACAAAGCCCTCGAAGCCCTGGGGAATGTTTAAACTGAACGACTTCAGGGAACACAGCCGCCGTCTCCTCCTGGTGGTCGCTCATCTGTAAACTCGGGTATGGATCCATCTATGGCTTGACAATCCCCCGGGGCCCACTCACCTTTTCCAGATGTAGATTTATCCATCGAGTAAAAGTCCTCTTCTGCACATTTTCCCTCTCAACTGAAAACAAAGAATTGCCATTAGTGGGACAGCAGGGGACAAATGGCAGGGAGGCCTGCAGAATCCTGCCCTCCCCCTTCCCAGGGGACATTCCATGCAGTCTGCAGAAAGGAGCCCTGTGGTGTCCCAGGTCAGAACAGAGACTTCCAGAAGAGGGTCGGCAAGGGCTTATGTGACACCCTGAGCCCATTTCCCCAGCCCCAGCCCTGAGCAAATGTGTAACCCACGAATTCAGACACAGGACAAAATGTTCTACGCGACCGGCCGTGAGCACCTGGACCTTTGACTCTGCAGGATCAGAAGCGCTGGTGGGAAAATACAAGCGAAGCCCCCGGCAGTGGTGCTGCTGCAGGGTGGCCTGGTGCAGACACAGGCCTGAGTACCTACAGGGGAGGTGGGCTGGGGTGGGGTCGACGATTAGGAATCAGGACGGGGCCTGGAATGTGCCAGAGAGTGCTGGGAGAATTTGACAGCTGTGGGTCAGGCTTAGCACTGTCATCTCTGGGCTTTGTGTGATGGGGTCAGCCACCCACCCCCGTGCCCAGTCTGCACACTGAGGATAAGCAGCCCACCCCCCGGGTGCCGTGAGGACACTTGGGCTCCTGCAATACCATGTGCAGCCCAGTCCCTGCTACAATGGCCACTCATTTTTGGTAGCTACTGTTTTTAGACCCAGGAAGGGAGAATGCTGCAGCCACCTGCTTCTGCACCTCGGTGACAGAGGACACGAACCGGGCCCGGGTGCCTTTGTCTCGGGAAGGATGCTGCCCAGCTGGGCTTCTTGGCAAAGTTCTCACCATGAAGGGCCACTGCCACTACTATTCCTTCCAAGCGGTTTGTTTACATGAATCTGAACCTTACAACCTCTGTGCCAAGTGGAAACTGCTGTTCTACAGATGAACAAATGGGCTCAAAGGGGCCCAGAGTTTGCCCAGGGCATCAGTGGGAGAGAGGCCAGGGTGGCCCTCAGGACTGTCGGCCAATCAGCCGGTACCCTGCCAACGGAGCCCATGACAGCAAAGGAGTCTGGTAGAAACCACTGTGATTTGAAAAAGAGCCAATGAGCACGAGGCAATGAGCCCGTGCTGCGAGGCAGACGCCAAGCTGGGCCCTGAACAGGCATCAAATTGTTAATCCTCACTAGGGCCCCAAGGCAGGCACCAGGACGACCTTCGGATGGGACACCCGGGCACAGGGAGAGGCCATGCTTGGCCAAGATCACGCCATCAGTAGGGTCATCCTCTCTATCTTACAGATGAGGAAACTGAGGGGCAAATAGCAGGCGGCCAAGCTGAGCTGGGCTCCTGCTCCCGCCCCAGCTCCATGGCTGTGGCCATCTCGGGGCCCTCGGGGACCCGGCCTGTGTTACCAGGGAGGGTCCTGGCGCAGTGGCCTGCAGTGGCTGCCTCTCAGCACCAAGCTGCCACCTCTCTCAGGAAGTGTCCCTGAAGTGCCCAGACGACGCCTCATTTACTAAGCTCTGGATTTCAACATATTGGAAGAACAAACCACAGATGCCTAACACCGTCTCACACTTCTCTGGCAATAAGAGCACGAGAGCCAATTTATCTCCTGGAGGAGAAAACAGGACACGGCTTTCTGTCACGACTACGGCGCCTTTTTTCCTCTTGGCCTCATAATGAGGTAGATAGCGACGCCCATAAATCAAATTTTAATATTGTGCCTTTCAATCTTCTTAATTGAAGAGCCAGCAGACAGTAATTATGCACTTAACTGCTTTTCTCTCATTTTCCTCCTTTTCTGAAGTGAAGGTCGCTGGCTCTAGGCATGGGAAGGAAAGATCTGATTCCAGCAAGCTGGGCTTCAGGGCTGGGACTGGGGGGAGGAAGGAGAGAAGCTGACAGAAATGGAAAGAGGGGCACAATTTGCTGAGACTGATGAGTCACAGAATCTCAGAGACTGCTGAAAGCTTGGACTGTATCTGGTCCCGAGCCTCCTTCGAGATCTTTCTGCACATACAGATCTGCCTCGTTCTCTTTGATGGCCACAGTGTTTGCCTGTCAGGGTGTTCTGCATCTTAGTTACCATCCCCCACTTGATGGACATGGGGCTACTTCTACGTTTTCACTGTCACAAGCACAACAGCGAGGAGCTTCCTCCTATAGGCATCCTGGTACATGGACCTTCGTATACGAATGTATAAATGTTATTTCTTGCTCTCGACAACTAAAAGTGGAACTGTGGGTTCTTAGTGGTAGGCACATTTAAAAATTTAATAGCTACTTCCAAATTGCCCTCCCAAAAGGCTGCCCCAGTTTATACTCCCCCCCCCACCTGTCTTTAAACAAGTTTATGGGGACTGTAAAGTATTTACACACACATTCAAACATGCAGACTGGTTTCTCCATCTGGGCTCAGAAAGAGCAAAGTATACCCCTGAAACAGAGGTGCATTTAGTAGAAGTTGGTGAGAACCAGGCCAGGCTGCTACTTTAACTACACTCGAGGGTGTAAATGAGGCGGTGGGTGACTGCTGGTCTACACATGCCCTCTCCATCCACTCAGAGGTCCGTCCGTCCATCCATGCAGCCATCCATCCACTCCCCACCTGCCTATCTCTGCATCTCTCCATCCACCCTCCCTCCCAGCTGATATTTATGCAGTGACTACTCCATGCTAGGAACCACGCCAGGCTCCGTGGGCAAAATCAACAGTGAAGAATTAAGCATCCATGGAATCTGCACTCCAAGAATTCACAGTCAAGCAGGAGAGAAAACATCGATGTCACAAGGCACATTTTGCAGGGAGAAACGAATTAGAAAAGTGGAGGGTGACAGGGATGGGAAGAGGTGACTTCACACCGCATGGGGTCCTCCCTCGGGGCCCTAAGAGGATTCCGCGGGAGAACTGGGACCCAGAGGGGCTGGCAGAGATGGTGTGTGCAAACCCTGCCCTGATTCAGGGCACCTCTATTCTGGCCAAGACCAGTGGGTAAACCTGAGCAGGGATCAACTCTGACAGCCACGCTGATCCCCAGGAGGGGCAGGTGACAACTAAAGGACATCAGAGGATGGGAGCTGAATCACAAATAGCAGATGAGTCTCAAGCTGAAATAGGGTGTGGAGACCATATTTTCAGGACCTGAAACTGGGACGCACGGCTCAATACACAGGAGAGAGACAGCGAGAACCCAAGGCTCACACAGAGCGACCTTGGGCAAGTTCACGACTTTCAAAATGCCTTTGCCTCCCTCTCCCTCTCCCTCTCCCTCTCCAGAACAAGGACAGCCCTGCCTGCCTCTCAGGAAGCATGAGGTCACTCCAGAAAGCCTTGCAGCCTCCCCCCACCCCAGGCGCTCTCCCAGTCCCCCGCCCCAGCATCCCAGCGCCACGGACTTGGGGATTTTGTCTGGTGTCTCGACACCCAGGCCTGTGGCTCTCACATGGCCTTCTCTGTTTCAAACTACCCGCCCCCGTCCTCCAGACACTTCTACTCTGGCTTGCCAAGACTCCATAAACTTTATATAGTTTCCATAAATCCAACGGCCCCTTTTTTCCTAGCACGTTGTAAAGGTGTAGGAAACCATTTCTTGGGAAAGGCCTGGCTTTCTCACCGAGGGTTTGTGGGGCCCCGTGTGGGTTTACTGGGCAACAACAGAGTAATAACAGTGCTGTAAAGTCGCCATCCCTGCTCTGCCTGGCTGGCCAGGCTGCTGGAGAGCGGGCAGGTGGGCAGGGGGGCTGCCCGGGCCTGGGACTCCAAGGACCAAGGCAGAAAGGAGCGCAGGCCCAGCCTTGGGGCCCCACGCCACTGCCCAAATTCCCAGGTGTGACTCTCTAGCTCTGGCTTCACCAGGAACAGATGGTCTGAAAACAGGAGGAGGGACATTCCTCTCTTTTCCAAGTGTCCAGTGACCAGCTCGGGAGTTGGAGCCACAGAGAGAAGGGCACTGCCTCTGGCAGATAAAGTAGATTCATTCACTCTTGTGCCCTCTTTTCCTAGATCCAGTTTCCTATACGGTATGTCCTTTACGCTGTCCTGCTCCTCCCTGCACAGGGGGGAAAGGCTAGGTGGCTTCACCTGGTTACAATGGATTACAGGCTCATTGTAAAAACATGCACAAAAGCCTAGAGAGAAGGGTCTAAAATCTCCTGAAATTTCATTCTCCCAGAAAAAACACACACAGCCAATAACACCTGAATGTCAATGTAACGACTCAGTTTCTCAAAATGTGGCCCACAGAGCACCAGCATCCCCAGCTTCTGCAGTGATAGTTAGAATGAGTTCCTGCGCTCCACCTAAGGGTCACCCACACTCCTGGCAGAAGCAGCACTTAACCAGCTTGGCGATTGACGGTGCCACTTGTTGGCAGGAGGAGACCATTAGCACACTGGCTTGGTCCTCTTTGGGCAGAGCAAACAGTGCCAATGGGCGTGCCAGCCTGGTGCAAGAGGACCAGGCTTCTGAGCCAGGTTCGCAGGCTCCACCCAGGCCCATCGACGGGGACAGGGCTCCCAGATTCCATGCTTAAGACCATTCAGTGAGGTATCACACAGGGTATGGCTTTGGGGCATCAAGCAAGAAAAGAGTCATTTCCTATCTGTTTTCTGCAGCAGTGGGAGTGGCTTGGTCACTAAAGTCCTGGCTTGGGCGGCCTGCAGATCAGAATGTTGGGAGAGTTGAGACCACATTTTTATAGCTTCAAAGACACTGTGGGGCAGAAGGCAGGAGAGGGAAAGGGGTGAGCTACGACTCTGCTTATCTCTAGATTCCCAGTACACAGCTGGGGGTTCGGGGCTGGGCTGGTGCAGACCCCAGGGCAGTGCCCCACTACCTCAAGCTGCCACCAGAGCAAAAGCTCCAGGGCGAGGTGCAGAGTCTCTGGAGGACAAAAGGCCCACCTTCCCTCTGTGGTAGAAGAGGAAGCTGTAAATCAGCAAGCCCACCCCATCAGCCAGTGCTGTGAAGGCTCACAGCAAGAGTCTGGGGCATCAGCAGAGGCCACAGCTTCCTGTGCAAAAGCTCCTACGTTTCTACAAA